GGACTTGAATATGTTTAAATATCAGCCCTCTTTAAAACATATGTACTTTTTTTATACTTACACATTTTAAGGTGCCAAGAAGGAGTTGCAAACTGTGAAGTAACTTTATGAAGAGATGGAGTAAAGAAGGGAAGGCAAATGACTGGCAGCAGGGAAGTGTATGGGGTGAGTGCTTACCATTTGTTGTATCACCGACCGACTGACTGCACAGTGAGTTCATAAGGTGAACATTGCCCAGCTCTTTGTCAATCAGTGTTTCACAGCAGACATGTGGAACAGCAGTGAACAGTGGTAGAACCATGACGCGCCTTATATAAACGACCGTTTTAGCAAGGCCAGGACATTTTGTTTAAAGCTCACATGTCACCTTTCAGGACCTACCTTTGCAAGTACCTTTTACAATTAAACCATCTCAAAGGAAGCTATCTAAATCCTCTGTACTCTAACCACAAAAAATACAAAATAGGTTTAATGTTACTGGAATTTGTATCTTACTATTTTGGGGGGGATGGTTTTGTTTGTTTATTTGGGCTTTTGATGCTTTTTTTTCCTTCCTGAACTTTTATATGTATTGAAAGTATTCTGGCTGATGAGCAAATACTATACAGTTGAATAATCTTGAGGGGTAGATTAATCTATAGTCTTTCTTCATCTCAGGGTGGGTTGCTGTGGCAACCGCCCCAGCTCACTTTAATATAATTTTTTAAAGCTCACTTCAAGAGCTACACCCAGCGTGGGCCAAGCTTAAAAGCAGGCGGCCAATGCACAGGCCTTCCAGAGACTGCTGCTGTAATGGAGGGAGGTGGTGGTGAAGGGAGGGTGCCGTGCGATGGTATGCTGAACAGAAATTGGAAATTAGCTTTCTGAAGAGTTACCATCCTAAAATCAGGCTCTTCACCTTTTATGGCACATTAATCAAAGGTATTGGAGATTTAATTCTTCTGGGGAGAAAACAAGCTCACATATATTTACGTTTATAATCAAAGCATATATAGCAATTATTAAATAAATAGATGGTGCTTTTTTTAAAAGCCAGCTTGATAGTAAATCAATGCCAGATCATTTTCCCTTGAAGTATCACCTTTCATAAATGTATTAGCAAGACTACCAGTTATTCATTGGCTTAAAAGATATAAGAATTTTGGTTTTTCTAATAGTAGGCCTAGAATGGTTGGAGAAATCATTTTACATTTAAATAAAACCAATTCCCAGAAAGGACAAAGCCATTGTTTAATGTTCATTGTTGTTGGGTGCTAATGAGCTGGTTCCGACACGGTGACCCGATGTATAACAGAAGGAGCTACTGCCCAGTTCTAAGTCATGCTCACAATGGTTATGTTTAAGCCCGTTGCTGTAGCCACTGGGGGAGTACATCTCATTGAGGGTCCCCTCTTTTTTGATGACCCCCTACTGCGCATGATATCCTTCTCTAGTAACTAGTCCTGAGAACATGTCCAAGGTACGCGAGACAAAGTCTCATCTTCACGTCCAAGCAACCTTCTGTCTGTACAGATTTCTATGATAGTCTCCATCAAAACGGTCAAGTCTTCAGCCACCTTCCAGATTCCTTGTGTAGCTTTTGTATGTTTATGAGGAGATTGAAAATCATGTTAATGTCAGGTACCTTCATCCTCAAAGTTACACTTACAAAGAGGTCTTGGCAGCAGATTTGCCCAGTGCGCTAACCTCATTTTTTGACTGCTGAGTCCATGGTACCATATACATAAACTTACTCTCCTACACTAAACTCACTGCCACGGAGTCAATTCCAACCGGAAATGTCCCTACAGCACAAAGTAGAATTGCATCCTGTGAATTTCTGAAGCTGTAAATCTTTACTGGAGCAAAAAGCCCTGTCTTTTCTTCCACAGGGAGGATGGTGAGTTCCAACTGCTGCCCTTGCCATGAGCCACCCAACATGTAACCTACCCTGCCACGAATGCTCCTTACACATTAGGCACAAATCTTGAAGTAGGTCTAATACTCACCCCAAGCTTTTCCCAATACCATGAGGTAACTGAGCCATGTACCACGAGATGTCAAGAGTAAGGACGACTTTGTTTTGTTTTGTTTTGTTTTTAAAAAAGGCCATAGGTATTATAAAAATTCAAAGTACACTAGTTAAACCACCTTGTGGAATACTCATAAATAATTTTAAATCTCAGGTGACTTGCTATTGTATATTTCTGAGCAACCTCTTCTGTTCCGCTTCAACTATAAAGGCTCTTGGGAAGGAAACTAATGTTAATATTAACTTAGGTCACACATAATTAAGAAGCTAAATCTGCTTAGGGGGAAATCTTGTATTCTTAAAGATTAACTGTGATATAATCCAGAGCCAAATTATTTTTGAATTACCTAGAGTTTAGGGTTATACACACGTTTGAATGCTTGCACTATTTCTGAAATATCAGTTTTTATAATGTTTATTACTAAAGATATCTTCAAATGTTAAAAGGTTCAGAAAAGTTATAAAGGAAAACAAATCTGAGACAGAAGTGTACTGTGATAAATACCCGCAATACTGCATTAAAAAAAATAGCTTGGTTTGAAGACATGTCTTGGTCATGTCTATTTGTTCATATAAAATAGGCTGTTGTAATGTTCATTACGTTGATTTTGTGCATTATCACAATAAACTCAGATGGCCCTGCGCATGGTTTGCTTTGTCCAGGCTTTTGTGAGTATTGGAATAACTACCTTAATTCCATGAATACCACTATATGTAGACATTATTTTAGGAGTAAAAATATGTTTGTGCTGTTATAGTTGGGTTGTTTTGTTTTGTTTTGTTTTTTACTTGGTTTCGGTTTCCCTTACAAGTTGTACCTAGAATGAAGACTGCTATAAGTTGTCTCCGCTATACTAAAATGAATTCATTGTAGCAGGATGAAAAATAAGACAAAAATTATGCCACAGACACTAATAAGCAAGAAATAATTTTACTTCCGATGGCTTGTTGCTTTGCACCAGTTTGCCATGCTTTCTGACAACAAAAGCAAAGCAACCGTCCTAGCGGTGCTTAGAGTCACAGTGGAGAGGCCAGAAGCCTGAATTCAGATCCAGTTGTACTTCCTGTAAAATCTGGCTCTCCCTCTCAGTTGAGCCCACTCTTCTGAACCTACTCACATCCAATAGCCTCCACAAGGAAGCAGAAGGCTTTTCCCACCACACTGTCCTCATGCATTAAAATAGTACTCGGGAAGCATACTGCTGAACGTAACAGGAAATGCAACCAGTCATTGGGTTAAATACACAGTGCTGAAAGGAATTTTTTTTAATGAGGAGGTATCTTTAATTAGCTCGATATTTAAGTTTTACTCCTATTGTCTACTCTTGAACTTTCCCTTCTTCCTTATACAATACATAAAAGAAAACTGACTTAAATATTTTATATCACATATTGTACGCCTGGCTTTCAATCCTGTCTTCTGAGGATTTGGACCCTGGCTGATACGTTTTCATCTCCGGCTTTATTGGCAATGGTGAAGATGACTAGGAAGGAGAAATGCCCAATCGCTGGTTGCCTTTGCTAAATACCGAATATTATGTTTTTTGTTAAGGAAAAGTGTTTGCTTAAACCTTAACCTAAGTATTCTTCCTTATCATTCTCGATTACTGCTTCCTGTGAAAGCTGAAACTCTTCAGGATAAGTGAAGTCATCGGCTCTCCAGACAGGGAAGCCTAATGCATTTGGGAAGTTGGTTTGGTTTCCATGTTAATGACCTGGATAAAGTCCAGTTAGGTGTGGAAGAGAAGCTGCCGCCTCGGTACGTGTTTCCAAACTGGTGAGAAAGTTCGTGGCCCCGTGATAAACTGGAGATTTCAAATCCGAGCGGCTGGCTTCTGATTCTGGTGTTCACAATTAAAAACACTCGAGAAGCGTTTCGGCTCGCGGGGCCGAGAATCACGGATGCTGGGCGGGCAGGACTCGAGCGCTGCAGACACCCAGAACCGTGGCTTTGACGCGTGAGTAAGAGGAGCGCAAACCCCGGTGGCGGAACAAAGTGGTTAAGGCATTTCCAAAGGGGGGCAAAAGCCGCAGGAGTAACTCCGCGGGTCGCACTCCCATTGGCCCAAGGGGAGCTCTCGACTTCGGAAGGACTTCGCTGCTGGCGGCGGCTCGCAGGGGTCCCCCGGGAGCGGAGCCGCCGCGCCGGGGCTGGAGGCTCGGTTCTCCCCGAGCGGCCCCGGCAGCGGAGGCGCGGGCAGAGAAGCCGGCACCCGCAGCTCGCCGTGTTGTCTTCATTTCGTGCGATAAAGAATTGTCATTAGGTTTGCGTATGGCATGTGCCATTACCCCACCGTAAAACTAAAATTAGCAAAATGTCAGGAATGGAAAGATTGATTCACCGAGATGCAATTATCATTTAAAAGTGCTTGATTGAGGTACTGATGTTCAGTGATTTATTCTGCATACCATATACATAATTAAAGTAGTGTAGTGGAGTAATTTATCAATCTAGTTGAGACGGGAGGGTTGAGGAGGGAGCTGCTGTATGTTTGTTTTATTAAAATGCTCCCAGATCAAGTCCCGCCCCCGTTTGCCAGAGCGAAACGGGTGACTTCCCCGCTCAGCTCGGGGCCCGAAGAAAGTCGGCGGGCTGGGATCGTGCGCAGCGCCGCGGCGCCAGGAGAAGGCAAGGGCCAAATCAGCCCCACGGGGAGCCAGAAAGCGGCGCTTCACTGAGAACCCCGGTCCGGTCCAGTGTGTGCACCCTTTTCTTGCCACGCTCCCCTCCCAGCCTTCTGCCACCATCCTCCTCCTGCCCACCTCCGCCTTTTCCGAGCGAGGTTTCAAAGGCGGCGAGCTGCTCCCCTTGGCCCATTCGTCTCCTGTCACTTCCTTCCTGGACACGCCGTTTTCGGGACCAGTCTGGGTACTTTTAATCCCGCCGGCCAGCCGCCGAGAGCCACTTTCTCCTCCTCCTCCTTCCTCTCCTCCTCGCAGTCCTCCCCCTGCTCTTCCCGCTCCTCCTCCTCCTCCAACCGGCCTGGGCGCGCACACGCGAATGCGCGGGCTTGCGCACGCGCCTCCACCCCCACCCCCCTTCCGCGCGCGCTTCATTTGCGCGCGCGCGCACGCGCTCACATCGCTCCAGCTCTCGGCTGGCTCGGCTCGCAGTCCCAGCCGCTTGAGCACACGCGTACACCCAGACATCTTCGGGCTGCTATTGGATTGACTTTGAAGGCTCTGTGTGGGTCGCCGTGCTGCAGGTTGGACTCAAGTGGAGAAGCACTGCAAGGCTGGACGAAGTAAAGATTACTATTGTTGTTGTTTTTTCTCTCTCCCTTTCTCTCTCTTAAGAAAGGAAAATATCCCAAGGACTAATTGGATCGGGTCTTCCTTCATGTAAGTACCTCTGACATTTCTCAAGGAACTAGACATTGCCTGGGTATTGTCCCTGGAATCTGCGTTCTCCTCTTCCAGGGCGCTGGGTCTACCCCTGTGCCTTTTCGGGAGGCTGAAGTTGAGGTTTGTTGTGTGTTCTTTTCATTAGATTCCATGATTTTTCTCGTCTGTTGCTGGAAGTAACTTTTTAGCTAGTCGGATCCGTTTGCCATCAGCGATGGAAATCACTCCTGACGCGTTCCTGTCACACCAGTGTGTTTAAAGTTTCATGAAGTTAGTTCACGTCATTAGCGTGTGTGATATGGTGGCGCGTGTGGAGCCTGGTGGGTTTTAATATTTCACAGACTGTTCTGTGACCTTGAAGTACAAACTGCAAGATGTAGCAGTTAGTTCCCTGTGGAAAGATGCTGCCACGAGTCGCCTCAAAGTGTCTGATTTGCCCTGGGTTGTGCTCCTGAGCCACTAATACTTGGGATTAGTTACAAGAGCAAGCATGGCTGTCTGTCAGAGGCCACCTTTGTGCATCTCCGAGCCTCACCGATGCGCTGGTGTGATAGAGGAGTGGAAAAAATCCTTCAGGCTGTAATCTATGCATTTCACAATCATCGGTAGTAGGATTTCAGCATATACATTCTTGTTTAGGTCAGGTCAGCTGCATACCTGTCTAAAAATAAAGCTAAGGCACTGAAATTGCCTTCTGTTTGGACTTTGGAGGAAAGTTATCAAACTCAGTGATAAAGTTTGACACAAAGGAAGCATATGTGAGCATGCAGGGGCACATTGCTTGGGATTAAATTGTAGGAGCGCATTTACATTAGTCCCAGCAGTACCTCCTTTCCAAAATATGGCGAATGACGCTTAAAGGGAATCTTACATATGAATAATGTCTAACAATTCTAGGTCTAGTAATTACCATTCTTTGGGAGAATCCTTTCTTTTCTTTTTTAAGCTGTGTGGAGAGAGAGAGAGAGAGAGATAAAATGCCTTTATATGTAAACGCTGACAGTATAATAAGTAAAAGCAGGCGCTCTGCCAGTTCTTCAGCCAGTCCTGATCCTCAGTGGAGATTACTCTGACACAAAGTGCATCGTGCAATTGTGAATCTGATACCAACTCCAGTAGTAACTGTTTTATGAATTGCTTAGTGACTGCATATATTTTTAAGTGCTATAAAGGACACTCCAGCCACTTTATTATGCCAATCCAGGAGAAAGGGGGGGGGGGAGTGGCCAGCCTCCTTCTCACTGGCACCTTGCAATGGAATTAGGGCTGCAGAGTAAAGATGTTTATGTGGATGGAGCGTAATAACTCCAATCCCTAGAGTCCTGGAAGGACATGGAACTATGACCACCTGTGAACCCCATTTAACCTTCATCTGCACACTAATTTTAGCTTTGAATTGATCACCAGTCTCCAGTTTGAAATGACTGTGCTTTAAGTTTTAAAGCAACGCCAGAGCTGGTTAGTCTCTGGAAATGCTCAGTATGCAACAACAGGGCAGAAGGCGCAGTTTTGTGTTTTCCTCAGAGATAATGCAGTCCGTGAACCTGATTGCTGTCTTATGGGGTGTGTGTGAAATTCGTTATTCCCTTAAAAAAACGTGATTCTGTAAGCAGTGGATTCAGAACTTGACATCAAATGAGATCTCCCTATCTAGCATGCTATCTCAAGGGGAAACATCATTGAAATCAAATACTTTATGGACGATTTGTAGGAAAGTACTTGCACTTCTACTCTAATAATGTAGGAGCTACATATTAATCTAGTGGCTCAATTCTGAAAGTTTGCGTTAAAGTATACTTTCATGTAACATTTGTTAAAAACATGGTCACCCAGTCAGGTTTAAGAAATAATAGTTCACGGTTCTCTTTACTTCAAGTTTTTTCATCAAACTTTATGAAAACCCATTATTTTTACGAACGTAACTCACACAGCTCTGCAGTATTTGTGGCGTGTTTTCCAGACGTCTTACAAAGACAGTATTTTCCTTCATTCATTATACCATTTACATTCTTGATTGCTCTGACAGTGGAACATATTGAAAGATAATAGGTAAGCTTTTAGTAAATACTTGTTCCTTAGGTTTAAATTAAAAAGTGAGCACTTTATAAGGAAAAAAAAAACAAAACTTTGCTGAGCTGTTCACATTTTAAAAGTCTGTGATCGCAATGAGTAACTTTCGAGAATAGAAACCCCTTGACATTAAAACACTACGTGAAAGTTAAATAACCCATACTTGCTGTACCTTGCCTCTTCATGTTGCAACTTTTGAGGGAAATGGCTGGTTCTAACAGAGAGAATGGTTCTAATGAGATCCTGAAAAAGAATCATGTTTTGCATTTTTCAGATTTCCTTGGCCTTCACCGTACCAAGTTAATAAAGTGCATTGATACCCTATCCAGCCAGTTAATGAGTTTTTAAACCTAAATTTCCTTTACAAAGAACTGAAGTAAATAATTCCTTGGTGTCGGTTAGCATTGTCTGTTTAAGCTTTCTTCTGTTTATCGTAGTGTATTTTGTGGTTTGATTTCCCAACTCTATGTGTGGTACATTTTGAGTCTATGAAATCTCAGAAAGCGACAAAAATGGGGAAATGTCTGTGCAGCAATACTCAGGCTAGATAGTAACGAAGCAATAGTTCAGAAACAGAGCTCTGCCATTTGGGACACTCTTCAGAGCAACATGGCAGGATTTAAATAAGCACTTGAAACGTCGCAGAGTAGACTTTATAGAGTTATTAGTAAAGTCCAACTGTTTTTCAAAGACACACCTCCCAAGATAATACCACACAAATTAACATGTGAAACTTATAAGGAGGTATACATTAATTTTGCCAAGACAGTGATTGCCTACAGACAGTGAGAGGATTTACCCACTGATGTTTCACAGTGGGCTGCATCAGGCAGGACAGGAGATTAAGATCCTTGCCCTCAGCACTGTACCTTAATCTTACAAGCGCGTGGACTGCCCTGCACTCAGTAAAGCCTCCCTGTTCACTGAGACCTGTCATCTTTAGGAAATCAAACCAGATTATAGAGGCAATTCACAAAGCCAGGAGCAACCACAGAGTCTATGCACCTTACAAAAGGTGGAGTAGGCACTTCACGTGTTATTTTGATAGGTCAGTGATAAAAGCTGATTGCTAAGGGATGGCAAGACACTCCAATTTTAAATGATTGCTAGATAAGTGTACCATGGCCCTGTTGCTTCAGCATTATGAAGAGTCATTCAACAGTGGAAAACTCGCTTTTCAAATGACAGGCTTTCAATAGTGTAGTGACAGAAAACATGTCCTTTTCATATATGTCTTTGTTGCTTATATTTTAAGTTCCATCACTTCTGTGTGAACAGTTATCAAGGGCTGGTGGCTTCCATGAAGCAGTTCGTGTAAGACTTAAGTGCATTAGCCATTTTCAAAAGCACTGTAAAGAGAATTGAAAACAGAATTGGCAAAAAAATGAAACATACGTACTCGTGGTATGGAGTATTTTAGCAGAAAATGCACGATGGTCAATATTCATTGTGATATTCTGTTACTATATAGGTTCTTCATAAAAGTGTAAAACTGGATATGAAGCCATATATCTGCAATGTATCTTTGAATAGGTGTTTATTGGTCAAATGATTTACATTTGATGGTACTATCAGTGATCATCCTTTACAACAAAATGTGATGTTCTGAGAGTCTATTTCCGAGACTGAAGTTTGGTTTGCATAATAATGTTTGGAGGACCCCAACTTTTTACACTTTCAACTCTACAGTAATTTCTTGCTTCTAAAATTGAAGTCCTTTTTTACCCAACTGATGCCTCCTAGTGTTTCACACAATAAAACACTAATGAGTCGCCCATGAATGTAAACATCACGTGTTCATTGCCTACATCTTTCTGTGATACATAAAATTAATATTTATGTATTTAATTTTCTATGCCTTATTATAATAAGATAGGGAATTTTAGTGAATGAGATATTTCACTTAAGTGGGTTGGTGACACACAATTGCAGGCTTTCTTTGGCCATGATAACAGGATTTTACTAAATGTTAATAAGTTTATTACCTTCAGTTCCAGTTTATATAGTCACTGTTCATATTCAGTTTCATCCCAAGTAAAAAACATGGGCAGAATAGCAGAGCTTCCATTTTGTAGGCCTGAAAATCATATAGCTGAGTTCATCCGAATGTCTGATGAACAAATTACAAAAGGACTAGCCAGCTCATTTAAACACGAACACATCTTAAAAGATAGGTACTTTTTATTTGGCTACCCGTCTTTACACCCACAAATATTTATGTAAAGAGGAATAGAGAAGAAGGGGGCTGGGAGATCAAGAGCAAAGATCCATGCACATATTCCCACAGATATGAAGCATATATCCCTTTATTGGAAAATAACCAAAGAAGGAAAGAAAAAGGGGAAAACCTCCTGCCTTGGTAGTCTACGATTCTATATACTGGAAGGAAGACGCGTTGGAACATCATTTCTCTTGACTAGGAGGTTGCTTTAATGAGGTGAAGATTGAGGACCATCTATTAGGTGAGTTTTCTGCCATTGAGATGAAAATGAACTTGCGATATTTCTGCACTTCTGTGATTTCAAACAGCTTTCTGAGTCTGTGAAGGGGCACACTGTAGTTTCTGGACATTTTTTCCTTGAAATACTTGTCAGGACTTAGAAGAGGACGAGAGAATCCCTCTAATGAATCTTAAATGCGTAGGATGCACTGAGAAACCTCTAACACTTACGGACTTCTTCACGAGTTGCCATCTAGCACACATGCCCAAACAGCCACGGATTTCTTCTACTTAGAAGTGTCTGAGAGACCAAATAGATGCTGGACTGTACGGAGTCCACTTCCATTACCCATCGATGAGTCATTTGCTTCTCCTGATTTAAAATGTAGAATGTATTAATACTATCTGACCATCATTTACGGTTTCCTGGTTTGTCAGTAATACAAAGAATGTGAGGGGGGGGTGTTCCTTTTGTTCAAGGAAGCAA